TTTGATCCCTCCAGGTATCGATCATTATGACCACCGAATAGGATGGTCAGGGTGTGCTGGCAAAACAGAGCCCACTACAGCTTTCTTTAATGAGAACAATTTGTCATTGGCAATGCCATTAGCTGATCTAATGCAAGAGGCAAATCAAGAAGTACCTGTCTGGCTCACTCGTTTTGTGTCACGGGCTTCTTATTGTGGAAACAAAAATCGACAGTCTGGAGGAGGGCGTTTTGGCGGGCGTGATTTAAGAAAAGGGAGGGCTCCTTCAATAGGGGTATGGGTTACTATGGTGGAGGGAATGCCGGCAGTGGATATGAATCGAATTCCGGTCAGATGGTTATGGTGGAGGATATATACACCCCAGGTGTAGGTGTGACAAGTGCATGGGATTAACTTGGTCCAGCGTTACTATTTTTTCAAGTATATACGTGTATATATATGTTCTAATGTTGAAAATTCAGTATTAATTAAGTATACGTTCCTTGTTTATAGCCATTAACCTTTGTAAGTGTAGGTGTATTGCTGCTAAGGCCGCGGCTTCGTTGCTTCTGGGATGGTGGTATGTCAAAACCGGTTGGATTCTGGCATCATAAAAAGAAAAAAAAGCGGGGGTGGGTGGTGCGGGTGTGTTAAAACAACAAGAGCAGTGCTAACTGCTAAGGGCACTCGCCTCCTGCACTCTCCAGCTAACACATGCTTTTTTATTGGGCCACGTAAGCTTACTTGCAACGAAATGATGACCTCTCCGGAACACCAACATAACGTGGCCTAATGATATAATGGAAGTGTTGGTTGGAGAGTGCACATGGCGAGTGTTCCTAGCATTGCTCAAACAACAATTCTCAGAAAAGATTGGTAAAAACTACTATGAGCTGCTTACATTATCAAATTTGAAAATTTTAACATTTTATTTAATCTTATATTATGATACTTTTAGTTTCTTACTTTGCTAGATTTGTAAGTTTTAACTTTTCACCTATTAAAATCAAAGAAAATAACTCTCAGTTTATATTGATTGTTAATTTTATTAGTTGAAAATAAATTTTTGTCAATTAATATGTAATTAATAGTCAGTTAACAGAATTAACGAAATATTATAAAATTTGTTATGTTAACTCTATTAAATGAAAGAATATTTTTGTTAGTTAATAGTCAATTAATAATCAATTAATAGAGTTAACAGTTAGTTAGTAAACTAATAAAATGTTACAAAATGAAGACTATTTTCTTTAATTTTAATAAGTGAGAGGTTAAAAATGTCAGACATTAAAATCTACAAATTTAATAAGGTGAAAAGTTAAAAGTGTCATAATATAAGATAAAAAGTTAAAACCTTTAAACTTAATAAGATAATGGGTTCAAAACAAGCTTTTTACCGAAAAGGTTAAACAATTTGTCATAGGGTACATTAAAAAAATTAAATAATTATTTTTTGGGTACATTAAAAAAGTCGATTGCCTGACTATTTAAGAATTTGAATTTTTTAATATTAATTTTAAAGTAAAAATTTTAAGTCAATAAATAATAATTTAACCCAACGTTTGATTTTACTGTTAAACAATAACTTTTAGAGAATGTATTAATATTATTAAAAGGATTGTCAATTTTATAATTTTTTAGGTAATTTAATTATAAGAAATATATTTATTGTATTTTAACCTATATCTAATAACTCAAGTTAAATAAATCCAATTTTTAAAGGGGATTACGAAATTTTGGCTTCGGGGGGAATTCTATCCCATGTGTTGGTTAGGATGGGAAGACTGAAGTTGTGGTTATTGCTAACGTAGAGAACGTTAAGGTTGCCAATTTTTCAGTTTTTTTTTGCTTATACAGTATTTATGAATATCAGACTGTTAATTAAATTAAATTTATTAATAAATAAATATTAATTATTTTATTAATTAAAAATTAATATTTTTGATGGTCTTAACATTTTAATTAATGACCATAACTTTGCCCAAAGTCAACATGTTTATTGCGTAGAAAGTTTATTGCCTAGAAAGGAATGTGATTATCACCCCCAATTCTCTGCCACCGAAATTATATTCAATTTAATTGATATTTATAATTTTTTCTTAAATATAAATGATTATAATGTTTGAAAAAATTAATTTATAAATTGATTTTAATTTATTAAATTCCTTGTTCTAGTTTTTTTTTTTTGAGTTATTCACCAAAAAATTATGCCATGTCATTAAAAAAACATTTATATTGGATTAAAAAGTATCCACATTGAATTATTAATGGTACATAGTGTTATGTTAATTTTTAAGTGCCATGTAGTACATTTTATAACGGTACCGTAACGGCACGTTAAAATGTTGAATTTTTCATGGGTTTTGAAAAGTTGAGGGTGTGAATAGGGAGGAAAAATTTTGAAAGGTGTTGACTGCGGAAAACAATTAAGTGGAGGGTGCAAATAGCCCCTTTGCCCATCGAGAAATGAAGAAAGTGAAGGAAAAGAAGAGTTAAGGAAGAAGAAGATGTACTCTAGTGTACATATCTAATCATTTCATATGGTGTTCTTTTTACACTGGAATGAGATTCTTTCTCAACTTCCTTGTCTTAGGGTATGTAGAAAAATGTTAAATAATTTTTTAATACATTAGAAACGTTAGTTATTTAATTATATAAAAATTTAAATTTTTAATCTTAATTTTAAATTAATAAATAATAATTTAATTAAATTTTCAATCATACAATTAAATAATTAACCAACGAATTTTAAAAGTTATTTCACTTAAAATGAATATAATCTCTTTTATTGTATTTTCTTAATCTCCACACTTCCTTTTGTACAAATGCTGATAAAAAATGATTATACATGACAACTTGAAATCTTATCGGTATCAATGATAAAATTTTACGGACTCCCTTTTTGTTTTTTTGGAACTGCAAAGGAAAATTTAGGGGACTCAGAAGTTTGAGTTTTAGAAGCAAAAATTAGTTCGTACACTGATTGAGCTGTTTTTTTGTCTTCTCCACACTTTTTTTGGGGGTAAAATCATCTTTTCAACATTTTAAATAATAAAAAGGCGGGAATCAGTGATTTCACACTGACAGTAAAAAGGAACCATTAGCACGTGAATGAGGGAGGTGGGACCCAACCGTGATATTGTACTCATCAAATCTTGCAATTGACTCGTAAATTGACTAAATTCTGATAATTTGCTGCTGCAGCCTTCTCTCTCCTTAAAAATCAATTCAAACTAGAAGCACAAAATGATTAATAAGCGCTCTGCTCTCTCCTCCCTCCCTCCCTCACATACACAGATACACTCATCAGTATCTTCTCTTGAGATATGAAGAAGCTTAATCATTTTAGTCATCCCCATCCTTTGGTGCTCGTGGAAGAGGAGATGGATTGGATCAGTATAATTTATTCCTGCTCAGCATGTCACCAGCGGGTAGAGGGTTCCAGCTACAACTGCTCCGCATGTGATTTTTGTCTTCATAAGTCTTGTGCTGAGCTACGGCGGGAGATCAATCATCCCTTTCACCCTGACCATCCACTCATCCTTTATGAGAAGGAGTGGGATCAATACCCTGGATTCAAATCTTATCGATGCGATTCCTGTAGAAAAGAATATAAAAAAGGTGAGGAATTATTTGTTTATCATTGTTCCTCTTGTAGATTTGACCTTGACATTAAATGTGCTTTGCTTCCAAACTTGATTACTGGAGATTTCCCAAAGCTAAAACATTTTAGCCATCAACATTCACTCTTCT